TTTCACCTAATGTGTTTTCAGAGACCCAATTAACAATGTTAGGCAGGATATTACTCGATTTTTTTTTTCAGCTAGTGCACAAAATGTACTAGGGTAGAGCCCTAATAACAATCTGACCAATCCTGGTCACATGAGCAAGATCAATGAACTTATTGATCCAGGTGCCCTGCTTAAGAGAAATATTCCCAGTTGTGACACTGAGACAAAGCCTGTCCCTCAGTGGGAGATGCTAAAGCTGTTATTGAAACTGAGGAATATCAGGGTCAGCCCATGTTCCTGGTGATACCCTGAGGAGGGGCAGGTCCATCTACACAGACCTGAGGGCTTACAAAGTTGGGGAGTGATCAGAGTTCATCATATACACACACGCATATTTGGAACAGCTCCCAGGGTCTACTCAGACAGAAGCCACAGTTCACTCCGACAATGGCGGCAGCTTCCAGAGCTGGGGCTCATGCACACAGGCTGCAAAGCTCCCAGTACACAGGCCAGAAAGTACTCAGAGCCAGATAGATCATGTAATAATTGGCCCAATAGACTTGGGTTCACTGAAGCACATGATCTGATTAGTTTATTGAATGAATAGCCTGCATTTTCATAGTGCATGTGCTTCTCATACATCATCTCCATTGATTCTTATAACAACCCTGTGACTTAGGCACTTCAAGCATTATCTCCATTATTATCTCCATTTTAGAAGTGAGGAAGCCACAAGAAAAATGTGGAGTGTCTTCCCCAGACCACACACACAGAGCACATACACATACCACATACAACTAGACCATATGCAGAGCCTGGATTCAAACACAGGTGTTCTGATGCTACATTATGACACAGCTCCCAAAGTTAGGGCTCCCCGACACAGCCTCCCAGAATCCCTTTGGCATTTCCACAGGAATTGGCATAAAAATCACCAGAGTAACATACATTTGTATAATGCCATCAAAATCTACAAAACACTTTCCTTACAGTAGAAGGGAAGCTCCTTGAGGGCAGGAACTGCTTTGTTTTGTCTTTTGTATGCTCAGCAACACGCAAACACAGGGTTAGGAATCAGAGAAAATATGTCCTCAGTAATGGGAGGAATTTTGGTAGATGTAGGGGAGAAGGGAGCTTGCACATTGGAAGCACTTAAATATTTGTTCAACTGAATCACAAAATCTCAGGAAAAGGATCCCAGAGATGACCTAGTCCAATGTATACCTGACCTGGAATCCTCTGTACAGCATCCCTGAAGAGAGATCATCCAGTCTTTGTTGGAAAATGATCCACCCTGAGGATCCAGCCTGCTGCCTCCTGAGGTAGTCCACCCCAGTTTTGGACAGTGCTCATCACTGCATCAAAATCTAAATTTGCCTCTCTGTCACTTCTACTCATCGTTCTCTTCTTCCCTCTGGGGCCAAGCAGAACATGTCAAATCCCTTTTCCATGTATCAGCTCTTCAAGCACTAGAAGGTCATCTTCATTGCTTCCAAATCTTTTATTCTCCAGGCAAAACATCACTGGGTACTTAATCATTGCTTAAATCATGTAGCCCCTAGTCTCCTCACTGAACTGGTTACCCATCAGTGAAATTCTCCAGTTCATCAGTGTCTTTCCTAAGATTTCTCACCCAGACCTGAAAACATTGCTCCAGATGTGATCCAGCTACAAAATAATATGGCAAGACTCACATCCTTTCACTCTGGATACTGCTTAATACTGAGCTCTAGTGTCTCTGGCTGTTCTATCACACTGTTGGCTCCTATAAATTTTGTTTTGGACTCAAATGTAGGATGTACTACACCTATCCTTAATAAATTCCATCTTCTCTAATCTGTCAAAAGCTCCAAGACTGAGTCATTTATAAAGACTAGAGAGCAATCAGACACAGCCTAGGAAATGTCTAGAGAGGGAGTTGGATAACAAATGTATGCTGAACAAATGAATGCAGAAATGAATGAAACTTATGCTTACAGAGCAGACAGTTCCCAAGCCTGAGCTCATGCACACACTGCAGATAGTTCCCAGACTAGGGATAATGCTTAAAGGCTAGACAGCTCCCAGAAGGCACTTCTTTGAAGCACACCACCTGACTTGAAGTTGGATGTTTGTTGAATGAATAAATGATTGAACGAGCTTCATGCACATAGGTCACACAACTTATTTGCATAACTTACTCTCAGGCCACAGATCATACACACAGCCAGGATAGCTTAAGAATAAATGAATGAATGAATAAAGCTTGCGTACATGTCAGAGATCTCCAGACAGGGCTTACACCCAATGACCAAACAACTCACAGATTAGGGTTCATACGCACAGCCAAACCTGCTCCTTCACCTGGAGAATGAATGAATGAATGAATGAATGAATGAATGAATGAGATTTATGCTCATAGGCTAGATGTTTCCCAGACTGAGTTTCACGCATTTAGCTTTATCTGTTTCTAGATCTAGAGCTAGATAATATTTGCTGACTGAATGAGTGAGGCTCATGAACATAAATCAGAAAATTCCCAGGCTTGATCTTTATGATTATATAGGCTTGGCATTTCCCACACATCTGGCTCATATACATAGGCTATGCGGCAACCAGATTGGGATTCATAGAAGCTAAATACCATATTAGCTCCTAAGCCTGGGGTTAGATAGTAAAGTTTTGTCAGATGGATAGGTAGATAGGTTATGGATGAATGAATGAATAGATAAACTAATGAATGTGATATACGCGGGCCAGACGGTTCCCTGACTGTGCTTCATGCACATGGGATATACATCCAGATCCAAGGTTTCTGGACAAGCCAGACAGTTCCTGAACTAAAGGCTCATGCACACAAGCCAGAAAGTTTCCATAACTGGGATTCATAAACAAACATAAACCATTCAGGGCCTGTGCAGAGGCCAGATAACTCCAGCAATTGGCAGATTTGTCATCATTTCAAACAAGCTGCAAAGATGGGGCTTCCACTTCATAAGCAGATTCCTAAATATACTATGGTGATATACTTGGTTGTTGCTTGAACAGTTATAATAAGATTGTATCAGACACATCTGGGCAATTAAAAGTATAATAACTTGAGTTTTATACAGTTTTTTATTTAAAATTTCCAAAGTACTTTCATAGCTATCATCCCTTATCACTCTTGCCACAACCCTGAAGGCAAACAGGACCAAGTTCATCACTCAGTTTAAAGGAGGGGAAACAGAGGTACAAAGGAGGTTAATCAATTTGCTCCAGCTCATGCAGGTAATCAATGGCACACCCCAAACTAAAGTGAAGATCTCACACCCATGCACTTGCAACCCAGTCCAATTTTGCAGCCCACATATGAAGTCAGGGATTAGAGAAAAGAGAGGCCTGGAAGAAGCCAAGGCTATTCAGGGGAACCAAGTCCCATGCTAAAAACCCATGACTAACCTACCAATCTGGATATCATCCGCAGGCCACTTACTGCCAGTGGCAATTGTCTAATTTGAAATTGGAAGACTTCACCCCTTAGTTGTCCAGAAGCAGTATAGTCTGGAGCGAGGGGGCTAGAGTTTGAATCTAGGCTATGCCACACACCTGTGTGGCCTTAGCCAAATCATTGCCCTCTCTGTTTCCATCTCTGTAAAATGAAGGAACTGGATCAGCTCAGTATTAAGGCAGACTCTCTTGCAGCTTTGCCTCAGCACCATTCAGCTGCACCAAGCTTGGGGTGTTTGTTTCTCTTGTGCAGCTGAGGCAGACTGAAAACAGAGCGCCTTAAACTTCCTCCTCTCTGACAGGGACTGCAGAACAGGAGAGATGGGAAAGGAGGCAGCTGAGGTGTTTGCGTCTTCAGCTCTCTGATGTGCTTAGGGCTTTCTATTCTCTGGGATCCAAAGGTAAGCTTTGCAACAGCCTATGAGCAGCCGCTAACAGCTGGCCATTGCCTGGGTGCTGCTTGGATTAGCAGACAAAGACTCCACCAACTCCCTAATGCCATTCTCCACCATGCAGAACCGTACACCAGGGCCTGCAACACTTAATTATCACTTAGCCTCTAATTAGCATTTAATTATTAACACTTAATCCATCTGTAAAATGGGGACAGCACTATCTGCCTGTCGGGGATGTTGTGAGGAGTAATTAATTTAGGTTTGCAATACCCTTTGAAGACAGAAAACTTATGGAAAGACTAAATAGGGGAGTGAATCATAGCCTTTCATTTCCTCTCCTGCCTCTCCCTCCCTATCCTCCAGCTCTTGTTCCCCTGCTTCCTCTTGCCCTCCACCTCTGCCCCAGTATAGACACTTGGCACTCCCAGACACAGGGTTTCCCAGCAGGAAATAGGCATATTTACAGTCATCTTCTAGAATGTGTTAATTTTCTATTATGGTCTTTGACGATGTCAGGGCTTTCCCAGTAAATATTTTGATGTGTGCTTTTGGAGAGGTTTCTGTAGCGGCTGAATGGGACAGCTGCTTCCCAAGCTGGGGGATTCCAGATGTGGCTCCACACCAAGAAGATCGGTTTATATGATGGGAAGGAAAGGAAAGTGAGTATCTCTGAAAAGCATCTCCCAAGAAATCCTCATCTCTAAACCATCTCTGAGGAGGAACTTAGGAACCCTGGAGGTGGGTAGACCTCTGGGACTGCCAGATCATACTAGCTTTGATCAGTGCAATTTTCTTGCCTCTTATTTCCAAGGCTTTGGGTAGAAAAGTGATATTAGCAGGCAAGGAAGAAAAGTTGGCCCTTCATCTCAGAATAGTCCCAAGAGGAGCCCCAACCATCAAAGGGCACAATTCTTCCCAGGGCTTTATTCCTTGTATCCCCTGAGGCTTGTGGACCTGGTGCGGTGGCATTTGTTGGCACTGGAAAGCCTAGAGGGAAATGTGAGGCATGAGGACACAAGGTCAGCCACCATAGAGTGGCTGCAAGTATGGAGCCAAGGGTAATATTCTCCACAAGCATCTGCCTCCCAAGGAATTAGACCTTTCATGCTCAGAGTCCCCCAGCCCAATTTCTGTTCTTGGCAGGGGAAAAACACTCACTCATCCTGGAAAGTGCTGTCGTGGTCTCTGAGGGCACCAGGTGGGGCAGCAGTGGGCTGTGCTGGTACCATTGCCCCTGCCCTAGGCTGGAAGGCTTCTGGGAGGCCCTGGGCCCTTTTCCATATCTCATGGCAGGTCTTGTCCAGGCTGTCTTGAGGCGTGTCCTGGTGGATCCAGATATGCCTGGGGAACGGGCCCAGGGGTGAGGGGCGCTTGCTGGCCACCGTGGAAGAAGGGAACCCGTTCCCGCTGGCCATCATCCTCCTCTCTTTGCAGAAGGGCCCTTGCCTGCCCAGGGCTCCAAGACAGACCATCCACAACCCCTCATTCACCAGAAATCGAGTTAGGGATACGGGAGTTTAGGGGGTCAGATTTTTCTCTGTCCTCCAAGGACAATTGTTTTACAAGGCTATGTGTGTTTGTGTGCGAGTGTGTGTGTGAATGAGTGTGTTCTGGGGGAGGGGTTGTTTTGATTTATTTTTATTTGCTCTTTCCTTTTCTTTTGCCCCCATCCCCCCTCCCCCAGAAGAAAATATTTTAAAATAAAAGACAACAAACCTAGTAGCTTAGTAACCGTGGAATCCCTGGAGCTCAGGATCCTGGCAACTGGGCCGGCAGAATAACAACTGGAGAGGAGCTGAGAAGGGGAACTAGGGACCGGCAGGGCCCCCTTCTCCCGATGCTGCCACAGCAGGGAAATAGGGCAGCTGTGGCCCGGAAAACCCACTCTCAACTCCTCCACTCCCCCACGCTAGTTCAGTAATGGAACACCACTCCTCTCCCTCTCCCCTTTCTCCGCTCCCCTCCTGGCCAGAGGCTTTCACAACTGGGCGGTCCAGGCACGAGACCCCTTCAGGAAGGGGGGTGGGGTGGGAGAGAGGGCTCAGACCCTCCCCCATCCTCATCTGCTTTCCTGACCCTCTCGAGCCAAACGCCCTTCTGGGCCACCTACCGCCCCAGTGCACATCCTTCTACTGCCCCCGCAGCCCTATCCTGGGGATGAGGTAGGTGACGTGGGGATGGGAAGGGCGACAGAAAAGGTCCACAGCTCAGGCTTCAAAGCCCCAAGAGATCTGAAAGTCAATCCTCTTCATTTTACAGATGAGACAAACGAGGCCCAGGAAGAAGTGTCTAGTCCCAGGGCACACAGGTAAGTAACAGAGTAGTAATTCGCACCCATGTCGTCGGACTCCCAAGCTAGCGTTCTTTCTACTGCAGTACACAGCTGCCGGTATTTAGAGGTAGAGACAAATCGCGCGCCCTCCTCAGCCTCTTGCGCCAAACCTCCCTCGCTGCAGTATTGCTCTCTGACTGCCACGAATGAAAACCCAACAGTTCTTAACTGTTCCCCCAACCCCCGCCCTTTCCTGCCCAGTCCCTGGGGGTTCAGCGCAGATACGATGGGGTTTTAGGGACTCCAGAGCGCAGGAAACACAAGAGCGGAGCCCTCCGCACCGCTCCCCTCCCAAGGTTCTGCGGCCGCTCTCCGGGAGTGCCCACATTCCCCCAGCTCCGTGGTCAGGAATGAAATTGTGGCTCAAGTTTTTCAAACTCCCCAACTCCTGGAGCATGGGGCCCTTGCCTGCCAGGGCAGAGGGAGAAGGAGCCTGGGCTGGACCGGTCTTCGTCCCCCGCCCGCCTCAACCCTCCCGGGGGAACTGACCGGCTCCTGGGGACAGCTGCTCTGGGGACAGTGCAGCTGAAGAGGAAGTGAGCGGGCAGAGGCCCTGTGGTGAAGCCAGAACTCGAGGGGAGCCTGAGGCAACAGGCCGGTGATGCCCGCCCTTGCCTGGCCAACCAGGGTATATACCCTTTCTTCTCAGCCCCAGCTGAGAAAGGCTCTTCCTCACTTTTCTAATCTCAGAAGCATTGGCCCTGCAGATGAAGTGAGGGAGAGACTCAGGGGCTTTACCTCTTTCCCTGCTTCCGCTGCCTGCAACCTGCAGTTATCCCCCGATCCCCTTTTCTTCAGGGTTGGTGTCCAAGGCATGCTTCAGTGGCTGATGTGCCCCCTCCCTCAATCCCCCTCTCCCGCAACACAGTGTTCCTATGACCACTGGTCTTCCCACCAGAGCCACTGGGCCGATAGACAAAGCTGAGGGGCCCTGGCACAGAGTCCCTTTGGGACAACCTTCTATTCTACTAGATTATCCCTGCTAAAGATGCAGGAGCCCAGCAGCCCCGACAACCCTCAAAGGTCCTGTTTGGCTTGGCAACCCATTATGTGATGCAAGCCATCAGATTTATTGGCTTAATTCTGTTTGGCTCATTTTTATTTTAAAATGAGTTTGCATTCCCCCAGCAGGCCCTGACCATAGCACAGTCATTCAGGGTGAAGACTGAGCTAGCCTGGTTTTCAAACCTGCCCCATTGCTGTCCAGGGCCCCAGTATCTTCCCAGTCACCCAGATTTCCATCTTCAGTGTCGGCTTCCACACCTCTCTCTGCCTCATTCCACTTATCCCAATCAGTAGCTAGATCTTGTCATTTTACCTTCACAAAACCTCTCTTATACTTTAGCTTCTTTCCATACAACCACTCCCCTAGCTCAGGCAGACCCTCATTGACTCTTCCCTGGACTATTGCAATAGCCTCCTAATTGGTCTCTCCATTCCACCTACCTCACAGATGCCAAATTGATTTTTCTATAGCACAGGTCCAACTACATCGGTCTCCTGCTCAAGAAGTTCCAATGGCTCCCTATTCCTCTTAAGATCAAATGTAAACTCATGTTTACTGGTTAAAGTTCTTCATAAGCTGTCTTCTCATCTTTCCAGTATTCTTATACTTTACTTCCTTTCATACACTTGGTAGTTCAGCCATACTGAGCTATTTACTGCTCCTCACATGAAACATTCTATCTCTTCTCTGTGCTGGCCTCCATGCCTGATGTACTCTCCCTCCTTTTGGAATTCCTGGTTTTCTTCAAGGCTCAGGTCAATGGTGCTACCTTCTGCTTGAAACTTTTCCAGATCCCCCCCTTCCAGGGCCTTCCTAGCGAATTATCTTTCATTTACTCTGTGTGTGTGTATAGATGGAGAGACAAAGACAGAGAGAGAGAGAGAGAGAGAGAGAGAGAGAGAGAGAGAGAGAGAGAGAGAGAGAGAGAGAGAGAGAGATTGTCATGTCTGATGAGATTATAAACTTCTCAAAGGCAGAAGTCCTTGTCACTTTTGTCTTTATGTCTTCAAAGGACACATGGTAAATGAATAACAAAAGCTTGCAAACAATTGAAAATGGAGAGTTATGGACAATACTTCAGGACAAGAGAGTGCAGCAGAGAAAGGGAAGGGCTGAAGTGGGCCTTTGCTTCTCTATGAACCGTTGACCCATCCTGGTCTCTTCATCCCCCCACTGAGCTTTGCTCCCCCCAAATTAGTGAGGAAGCCAGGACCTCTCCCCCCTCCCTTCACTCTGGCAGGATCTAAATCAATCTCCTCCTCTCTCCTGGGTTCTCCCAATAATGGTGCTAACACTGTTGCCAGAGTCATTAAAAATTGAAGGAGGGGAAAAACAAAAGTTAGTTGCAAACAAAACGTCTCTGTGCTCATTAGATGCAGTATTTGTGTTGGCCTGGTTGTTTCTCAGGAGAAACCTGAGATGGAGGGGGGAATGGCACAAAAGAGATAGTAAACTAAGAGTTCTTCCAGTTGCAGAATAGGTGTATTTCTGACAAGATTGTCTGGAAAACAGATCTTTGTATATCAAATCCCATTTTCACAGATGTTCATGATAAAGTCAGAGCTGGGGTGTTGCTTGGGTTTTTTTTAAAATAATGTTTGTTCTAGATTTGTGATTTTATAGGTGTGGGGAATTCCTGGTGTAGAAAATCTCTCTATGATACATATCAACAGCACAACAAACTGAAGCAGTAAGGTAGCCTGAAGAAGATATGGAAGGCCACATGTGTCAGGAAAATAATGCCAGCACTAGCACCTTGACCACCACTTCCCTCAGATCTTGATGGAGATAGCCCTAAGTCCCAGAGGCCCCGAACCTTGGGAGTAACAGTGCCCCTCGGTCCTGCCTCCAGCCCTGCCTCCATAGACACCATCGAGGGGAGCAGTCATTGTAAGGAGGGGATCTACCTTCCTTAGCATCACTGGCAACAACTGTCAACCAATGGCTACCTACAAGCAGTCAGACCCAGGAGTCCTGGGAGTGCCAGCTCCTTCCAGACCCCAGTCCTCCCTCTAGCCCAGCCTTCCCAGTCAACATCTAAGGAAGCAACTCCTATGCAGACGGGGCTGGTCATCCCCACCACACAGGCCAGACGAGCAGCAAGGCACCCCAAGGGAGAGATGGGAGGCAGAAAGTGCCAATCTAGTCACATCAGCACCCCCACCAGGACCACCATGTCCCCTCGGATCCAGATGGAGACAGCCCAGGACCCTGAGTTCAAGAGCCCAGGGAATGACAAAGCTTCTAGCCCAGTTCCCTAAGCCATCATCCTGGGAAGCAACCACTGTGGAGATGCAGCCTGGCAAATGCCCCTTTGAGTGCTACAGCCACTGCTACTTAAGAAAATAAAGGTCTTGCCAGGAAGGCCTTAGCATATCAAATAGTTCAACATCAGAAATTGGTATTTTATCAGTGGAAATAACATTAAAGAAGAACCATTACCATCAGCGTGGAGCAGCTGGGAAGTACAGTGGTTAGAGTACTGGGCCTGAAGTCAGGAAAACTCATCTTCATGAGTTCAAATCTGGACTCACACATTTACTAGCTGTGTGACCCTAAGCAAGTCACTTTACCCTTTATGCCTCAGTTTCCTCATCTGCAAAATGAGCTGGAGAAGGAAATGACAAACCACTCTAATATCTTTGCTAAGAAAACAACAGCAGCCTTTGCCCTTGCACTATGAAGACTATGGGACTTTCCTATCTAACTTGCAGCTGAAACCTTCCATATATGTGTCATCTGTCATTACAATGTCAGCTCCTTGAGATCAGGGATCATCTTTTCGTATTTCCGGCACTCAGCACAGTGCTCTGCACATAGTATATGCTTAGTAAATGGTTCATTCATTCACCTGTAGTGTATAGCTTATCAAGTTGTACTGAGTGGCTACTGGGAGCTGCTCATCTCATACAGTTCATAAGTGTCAGAGACTTGAATGCAAGTTTTATTGTCCCTTCTAGAGGCAGCTAGGTCTAGGGGATACAGTGCTGGGCCTGGAGTCAGAAGGACCTGACTTCATGTCCAACCTCAGATGCTAGCTATGTGACCCTGGCAAGTCATTTGACCTCTGTCAACAGCTATGACTATTATTGACCAATTTCCTCATTTGCAAAAGAGGGATAGTAATGTGAGGATCAAATGAGATATTTGTAAGGTACTTCCTGAATCTTAAATATTATGTAAATGTTAACTATTATCATCATTTTTCTCCTAGATACAGTTAGGCACAAGAGCCCTGGGAGTGCTCCTTCTACATCACCAGACCTGCTTCCAGCCTAGCCCTCACATTCATCATCTGGGGAAACAACCACTGTGCAGGGTGAAGGTGAGGGAGCAGAGGAAACAGCCTAAAAATGTAGAGCTCAGCACCACCTGAGCTAGCTCCAGCTCTGGAAGGCTCTAATTAATTGCTTGGAAAGTCTTTCCTTACATGGAGCTGAAATCTGGCTCTTTGTAACTTCTACTCATAGCTCCTATTTCTGCTCCCCAGGGTTCAATCCCTTTTCAATGTAACTACTCTTCAAATGCTTGAAGACAGCTATCATGGCTCCCCTAAATCTACTAGTCTCAAGTATTTCCAGTCCCTTCAGAGATTCCTTATGTGACATGTTCTTCAAGCCCTTGACTACCCTCACCAGTTTCCTCTGGATATACTCCAACTTGTCAGTGTCCCTTTACTGAATTTGACATCTGTTTCATATTTTGAAATGACCTCCCCTACCCCTTTTCCCCTTCCCCCTCTTGTTAAAATCCTTACCTCTTTGGACTGAGTCATTCAATTGGTTCTGAATCTCTCTACTACACTGTCATCCAGCTCACATCTCTGTATATTATCCACAAGAATATTATGCTTTGTGTGTATATGTATGTGCGTATATACATATGTATATATGTGTATGCATATGTATATATCTCCTTAATCTACTGGTTTAACATGTCAATACAAGAAGGATCTGTATTATTGGCAATATGGCAGGACCTCAGTGTGGGAGTTCATACTATTAATGCAGATTGTAACTCATCCTTATAGGTATATGTTTGGGAATTGCTTGAAGATCACAGAGGCTAAAAGATTTGCAAAGATTTCAGAGCTAGTATGAAAGGCAAGATTAGAACCCATGCTTTCTTGACACTGTGCCCAATACTCTATTGCCTATCCCAATCTAATAATCTTATTTTAAAAAGGAAATAAGTTAGTCTGGGTATAAACTGTTATTGATTAAATCATAATAGCAATCATGATAACTGCTTCCTTTTCTAAACACTTACAAACTGCCCTTTTAATTCATTTTCAGTTTTTTTCAGAACTACTTGCTCTTATTTTGCTTCTGCTTTCCATATCTTCATACTAGAAAGAATAGAACACAAATGTTTAACAGAATTGAACCCCAAGATGAATGATGAGTTGTTTATTGAATATCAAGCTAAACCCAGTGAGTCAAGTCACCAGGCTTGGCTGAATCCTAGGGTATGAAGAGAACTAGCAGATATAAATGCTGAAACAATGTTGGTGATCTTAGAAAAATAGCATATGAAGACAGGGCTTTCAAGACAGCTCCAGGCCCTGAACTCTAGAACTTACAGTTGAGCAAGGGTGCTGGATATATACAGAAATAATTGTGATACAAAAGGATACCTGTTAGGTACATAAGATATGTAAAAGTTGTCATGTGAGATTGGGGAGATCATTACCAATTTGGAAGAATCAAGGAAGTTTTCCTAAAGCAGATTGCATCTGAGCTGGGCTTTAAAGGATTAGCAAAATTTTTTTTGACAGGCGGGAGAGTGATGCAAGGAGTTGGTGAGTGCATTTCAAGCATATAGAATGATGCAAGCAGAGAGAGGCAGGGAAGCCCGGAGCATGTATTATGGATGGTTAAAATCCAGTTCAGCTGAATGGTGAGATGCATGCAAGGGAGGGTAGGACTATGAAATAAGGCCGAAAAAGTAAAGTAGGGAGCCACATTGTGGATAGCTTTAAATACCAGACATTGGAGAATGAACTTTATTCCATTGGCAAAATGGAGTCATGAAAGAGTTTTGAGTGGGAAAATGACTGCCATGATGAGATCTAACATAAGAAATATTATTCTGGCAGCTGTATGAAGGGCAGGTTGTTTGGAGAAAGAAAGTGGAGGGAGAAGGAAATAGTAATGAATAATTGTAGTTGGGCAATAGCTCTGGGAACAGAAATGAAGGGATGGATGTAAGAAATGTTTCCAAAGGGATGCTATAAGCCTAGATTGATTTTATTAGAGCAGGTGTTCTTAATTTTTATGGGTCATGGACCCCTTTGACAGAATGGTGAAACTTATGGATCCCTCCCCTTTTAGGTGCATAAAACACATAAGATTGTAAAGGAAACAAATTATATTGAAGTAATATGACTCTTTTTGTAATTACAAGGGTATGGAAACTAAGGGGGTACTTATCAATTGGGTAAATGCATGTAGTAGAATATCATGCTGTAAGAAATGATGAAAGACACTATTTCAAAGAAACTTGGGAAAACTTTTATAAACTGACAAAGAGGGAAAGGAGTAGGACTAGCAGAATAATTTATACTATGAGAATAACATTGTAAAGACAAACAACTTTGAAAAACTTAAGACTGCAGATCAATACAATGGTCAGCCATGATTCCAGAAGACTATTAATGAAGAAGGCTACCACCTCTGACAGAGAGGTTCAGGACTAAATATGCAGAATGAGACACATTTTTGGACATGGCCAATATAGGAATTTGTTTAGCCTGACCATGTATATTTGTTACAGTAAGAGTTTTTTTCCTAGTGTTGGGGTAGGCAACATGGGAGGAAGAAAAAAATTGATCATTGAAAAGCTAGTTTTCAACTTTTTAAATATAAAAGCAAGCTCATGGACCCCCCCCAGGTCAAGAAACACTGTATTAGAGAGATGCTAATGAAATAATTCAAAGTTTCTGAACACGGGAGATGGGATGAAAGATGGCACCACAGACAAAGACAATGCAAGGTCATTTTAGGAATGCTGAAGGTTACTTAAGGTTACTAGTGGGACATACAGTGAGAATAATGCATATCTAAAATTCAGAAAATGGGAAATGGGATAGGGGAGGACTTTTAGATCTGAACTAGAGAAATGATATCAGAGCATGAGGAGACCCAGAAACAAGGACAAAGATTCTAGGTACAGCAGGAGCAATGGACCAGTTTGTGATGGAGTGACGGGTGAGCAGATTTCCCAAGAACATGTAGCACAGGCTCATGAAGTGATGCACAAATGCTTCCTGGCACACACAGCACACATGGAGCAATCCTTGCAGAGACCACATCAATGGAGTAAGGTACATGTTTGTGTCTTGGGGGGGGAGATTAGGTTCCCATGAATCCATGGCACACATGGGTTGCTGGAGGAGCAAGTTCATACCTGGACAGATCCAGAAGGAGATTCCTAAGAGCATTCTGAGGCCAAGTTTTATGGCCCACCCTACAGCCACCTCCAAGGTAAAATGGCATAATACTCAGTGAAGAAACGCCTGAATGACAGGACCATAGGTTTAGAGCTGGAAAGGACTCAGATGTTACCTACTCCAAATTGTCCTTCTGAAGATAGGGAAAAGAGGCCCAGTAGAAGGGACTTGTCCAAGGACACACAGGTAGTGACAGGTTGGACTTTTAAAGCTTCAGCAGATGAACCTTCAAGTGTCCAGGAGCTCTCCTTTCTCCCTCACCTACCCCCTGAAGATTATGAGCCCTTGGCAAGCCACCTCCTTCTGTCCATTTAGACAAAACAAGGCTGGATATGGTGTCATAGGACAAAATGGACAAAATCCAAAATGGCAGCGCTGTAAGGATGTTCTCCTGCTGTCTAGCACTGCCTCACTGGCTTCCAGATTCCCCCTTCTCACCCTAACCCATGGCTAGAGCACTTGGGCCTGGAAGTCAGGAAAACTTTAATTCAACTAAGGCCTCAGACACTAGCAATGAGACCCTGAACAAGTCACTTGTCTGCCTTTTTCCTCAACTATAAAATAGAGGTCATAATGCCTACCTGCCAGTGTTGTTGTGAGGATCAAATGAAATACTGTAAAGGGCTTAGCACAGTGCCTAGAATACAGTAGGCAATAAATGTTCCTTCTTACCCTTCCTGCTCCCTGTCCCCTTAGCCAGAGATGAGGCTGACTGTTCTTGGAGTTGCTGTTACCCCAATGCACCCAGACAGGACTACCAGAACCCAGCTGTTCCACCTTCCAAAAGCCCTAAGTCCACCCTGTAGAGTCCCTTTCACTAGTTCAGAAGCCTCTGCTACACCTGGCAGCTCCCCGTAAGATCCTACTGTAGGTAGCTTCCCTGGGACCTTAGTTCTGTCCAATTGCAGGGCAGGTAAGATTGACACCTGTGGGATCCAATCAACATTTAAGATGGCTCCACCTACCTCCCTTTGTTTTCTAGGCACTAGAGCTAGTCACTTGTACCAGGGAAGTGCCAGTTCAGAGTCTGACCTTACAATCTTCCCCAAACTATACCCAATAATTTGATAATGTAGCCCATTTTTACTCACAATAAGAGAAGGGTCATTTTTCTCATACTCCTCTGGTTTACAAATTGCTTTAATAGAAGCAGACAAGATCTTTCTGTCCTCTGCCTGGGACAGACCCACTCAGAAACACTTTGTTCAGTATTGGGTGCCACCTTTTAAAAAGGATATTGACAAGCTAGAGAGTGCCTGGAGGAGGGAACCAGAAATCTTGTCGTGAAGGAACTGGGGTGTGTCATTTGGAGAAGAGAAGACTTGGGGAGAGGAAAGGCTTGTAATGCAGGAAAGGGATTCAGTTTGTACTGTGGTATTCAAATACCACTACCAAGTCTGTATCCCAAAGAGATCAAAGGGAAAAGACCTATTTGTACAAAAACAATTTTATAGCAGCTCTTTTTATGGTGGCAAAGAACTGAAAATTGAGGGGATGCCAATCAATTGAGAAATGGATAAACAAGTTGTGGTATCTGTGATGCAATGCTATTGTATTATAAGAAATGACAAGCAGGATGGTTTCAGAAAAACCTGGGAAGTCTGAACTGATGCAAAGTGAAATGAACAGAACCAGAAGAACACTGTACACAGTAACAGCAGTATTATAAAGATGATCAACTGGGGAAGACTTGGCTCATCTAATCAAGGCAATGATCCAAGACAATTCCAAAGAACCCACATTGAAAGGTGCTATCTACTTCCAGAGAGAGAGAACTGATGAACTCTGGATGCAGACTGAAACACACTTTTTTCACTTTAATTTTCTCGTGTGTGTATGTGTGTGTGTGTGTGTTTGCTTTCTTTTGCAACATGGCTAATATGGAAATATATTTTGCATGACTTCACATATATAATTGATATCATATTTCTTGCCTCTCAGTGGGTAGAGAAGACCAAGAGAAGGAGAGAATTTGGAATTCAATTTTTAAAAAGTGAATGTTAAAACTTTAAAATATATTTGGGAAGCATTTAAATAAATAGAAATTTTTTTTAATTAAAAAAAAGATTCATGCTGCTTGGTCCCAGAAGGCAGAGCTAGGAAGTGGAAGTGGAAGAGGGGCAGATTTTAGCTCAATAAAAGCATTTTTAATCATTATGGCTATCTAGTTGGTTGCATTCACCAAGGTGAGAGGGAAGAAGCCGGATTACTACTTCTCAGGGATATCGTAGCGGTTGGACTCTTGCTCTGGTGAACGACATAGCTTAATATCACAGAATTTAGGGCTATAAGGGACCTTAGAGGTCCTCTAGCCCATGCTGTTATTGATAAAAGGGAGACAACATGACTGAGATCACATAGATAAGTCACAGAGCTAAGATTCAAGCCCAGATGATTGACTCCAAATTCAGAGTTCTCTCTACCACTTCCACATTAGAGATTTCTTCCAACTCTTAGAATATTTTTTTTTCTAAAAGGAATTTCTAAATATTGAAATAGGTGGTGATATTTGGTGAGGGAGAGCCAATAAAAGAAGAGGTAAGGGCCTTCTTCCAGGCTTTGATTCCCCAGGGGATCATTATGATTTAGCTCGATTCAATTTGACCAACAAATGGAGCACTGAGCTATCTCAGTTTCTTGAGCTATAAAATGGGGATAATATGATCTATTTCCAAGGCTACATGGCATAGTGGGTAGGGAACAGGCACCAGAGACAGGAAAACCTAGTCCCCACCTCTGACACATCCTAGCTGTGTGACCTTTGACAAGTCACTTTACTGTGAACTCTACAGGGACCTCTCTGAGACTCTAGGTTGCAGAGGTCTTGACCAGCGGTGAGAATGCTTCCACATATGTGAGTTCTCTATATCAATAAAACCACAGTCTCAGTCCCTATCCCTGCTGTACAGGGCTGTTGTGAGAAAAGTATTTCAAAAAGCTTACAATGATCTAGAAATGTAAGTGGTTATTATAAGCAAGCAATTTAAGCCCCTCTTGGAAGATTTTAAATGTATTTGTTCTGTAACTGCCATTCCGTTGGTGTAGAGAGCCCAGTAAGGCCAGCCTGCGCCTGGCCTCTATAACTTAGTCTTAGAGAGTTGCCCAGGAAGTAACTTATCAGGAGATCAAAGATTTGCAGCTGGAAGGAACCTCGGAGGCCACTGAGTCGAACCCTTCCATTTTATAGATAAGGAGACTAAGGAAGGTTAAGCATCTTGCCCGGAGATACACGTCAGAGGTGGGACCTGAACCCATCCTGAACCTCCAGCTCTTTCCATGGCACCACACTGCTCAGTCTCAATAACCAATTAGGCCGGACTTGAACTCAGGTCTCCTAGATTATAAGAGAAACCTCTTATAGGATCAAAGATCTAGAGCTGGAAGGGATCTGGAAGGTCATCTAATCTGCTCCTTTCATTTTACAGATGAGGACATGGAGGCCCACCAAGAAGGTTCAGTGACTTGTCCAGAGCCACTTATAAAGCAAATGTTAGAACTGGAATTTGAACCCGGTTCTTCTGACCCTGGGTCCACTGCTCTATATACTCTACCATATCTTCTCATCAATCACATTATTATTATTATATTACCTGTTTCATGATTATGGATAATGATGGTCAAGATTAGCCTTTCAATGAAACATGGTAGACTTTACTCAGGCTTGCCTTCCTCTTTTTTCAGGCTTGTCCAGTGAGGGATCTGGAATGGTGCTTCTCTATTCATGTCCACCTGATCAGGTGCTGTCTTCCCTTCCTCCTTCCCTCTGTCTCTTTTCATCGCGGAGATGTGAGGGAATCTGGAAAGGGGAGGGGGAGATAGGGCCTTTACAAAGAGGTGGGTGAACAGGATCAGTGGGAACCTGAAGCCGTCGAGATCTGGCTTCCTTGTAAA